AGAAATATACCAAGGTGTTTGTGATTATTAACAATGTTGATAGCAATGGGATCATCAGGGAAAGTAAAAAGCCGAGTCGTAAAGAGGGTGAGGTCACTGGAGGGTCGTGGGGGATACAAAGGATTGCTGTTTTCGACACATTGGGGCGGAGTTTCCACTTCCACATCCAGCGCACAACGTGATTGATGTGATACTGTAGCGAGTCGCAGGCTTGTAATAAGCCTGGCTCGGTTATATGGAGCGCTGTATCGTCCGCGTAGAGTGAGGTGTGATCCAAACCTGCCAAATCATTAACGTATACGATGAACAATAGAGGCGCCAAGATAGAGCCCTGGGGCACTACAGAGTGGACTGTTAGAGGGGCGGACAGGGCATGTACAATTCGGACACTCTGTCGACGTTCAGTGAGATAGCTGGTGAGCCACTGCAGACACGTCCCGTCAACGCCAAACGCTGCTAACTTATGGAGGAGATCCCTTGTCCAGACAGTGTCAAATGCTTTGCTCAGGTCGGGAAACATAGGAGGCTAAATTGCTTCTGATCCTTGCATTCATATAGCTTCTGCACAAGCCTCAGCAACTGCCAGGCGGTCGAATCGCTTCGCCGAAATCCAGACTGTGGCGGGTCAAGAACCGGGTTCACATGTTGGTATAAGTGACCAAATGCCAGACGTTCACAGAGCTTTGAAATGGTGGAAAAGAGTGAAATCGGCCGGTAATTGGATGCAGACAGTTTACTGCCTTTATTCTTGTAAATAGGCACAACCACAGCTGCCTTCCAGATATCAGGGAAGATTCCGGGGGCGAAGGACTGGTTGAAAACTAGGCTGAGTGGGAAAGCTATACTAGGAGACAGGCCTTTTAGGAGTTCATGGGATATGCCATCTGCACCTGCCGCCTTCTTGGGCTTTAGGCGACGGATGTGTTGAGCAACGGCAGTAGGAGTAGTGCTAAAAGAGGGCAGTGCTGGGAGCCCGTGGTATGGAATACCAGGAAGAGACCATGCAGGATCATCCGGTGTTCCAAAGCTGATGAATTGGGGATTCAGAGCATTGGCAATCTGGGTAGGGTCGTTATGTACAGTGTTATTTTCATGGAGTTCAGTGATGATAGGGTTTCCAACAGAAGACGGCAAACGGAGCTGCTTAACGAACTTGAACAAACTAGGGGTGGATGCAATAGTGGATGAGGGGTTAGTGCTAATGTAGGACACATACTGGCGGTGAGCCTCGCTAGATAGGATTCGTGCTCTGTTACGTTCGCACTTGTAATGCGCGTGATTGCTACGGGTAGGATACTTGCGATACAAGCTGTACGAGTCTCACTTCCTCTTCAGCTAAGCTTTAACAGCACGTGTCAGCCACGGGGGAATTGGTGTACGTCGTCTAGGGGCTGAAGAGCGTGACCGGGTGGGTAGGAAAGCGGAGCATAGACCATGAAGGATGTCATAAAATGCTGGAGCAGTACGGTTTGGATCTCCAAGCTTCAACTGGAGAGCAGCATGCCCATTTTTTATTGTCATGACAATTGGGAATCATGCTGAGCGTGATATTCTTATACATGAAAAGTTGCAAACACCAACATTGCCGAACTGTCTCCTCTTATTATGGATGATGATGATGAAGATGACGCCGCCTTTTAATCCGTCACCACTGATCACACACCTGAACTCACAGAACAGCGCAAGGCTGCCATTCATGAATACGTTAAATCACAACAAAACCTTTCATCAGAAACCAAAAGCATGCTCACCACACTCCTTATTGATAATCACGACCTATTTATATTGCATGAAGACGACTATGGCTATTGTGACATATTTCCGCATAAATTGATACAAGCACACATACTCTCATTAAGAAAGCAGCTTGGCACATTCCATACCACCGTCGCGTTGCTCTGCAGACGTTATTGGTTGAGTTACTCGAGAAGGGTTTCATCCAAGAGTGTATCAGTCCGTGGGCGTATCCGATCGTGTTGGTTCCTAAGAAGAACGGTTCCTTGCGACTTTGCGTTGACTATCGTAAGTTAAGTGATGTCACGAATCTGGACGCCTTACCGATCCCACGGGTCGATTCGCTGTGTGGCTGTAAGCGATTTTCGTCGCTCGATCTTGTGTCTGGGAATTGGCAGGTTGCAATGGATCCGGACGACCGAGCGAAGACCGCATTTACAACACCATTGGGCCTGTATGCGTTTACAGTGCTGCCGATGGGGTGCAGGAATGGTCCTGCCACCTTCCAGAGAGCTATGGAAGCTGTTTCTCTTGGGCTTTGTAATGCTGCTGCTCAATCTTCTCGCCGTGTCTTCTTCGATGATGTTTTAAATGCGAGCAAAACATTGTCAGGCCAAGTTTTAATTTTGTCGCGAGTCTTTGAGCGTGTGCGTTCAGCGGGCCTGCGTTTCAATTTGGCGAAATGTTCCTTTTTCCGGATGGATGCCGCGTTCCTTGGGCACCGCGTGTCGGCAGACGGAATTGCCCCGGTCCGGACAAGGTTTATGCGATTCTTGCGTGGAAGACGCCGAAGTCCGTCACTGCCGTCAGGTCATTCCTTGGTTTCGCGGGATATTACCACCGATTCATCCGTGGATTTGCGCAGCGGTCAGCCCCACTGACGGTTCTCACTGGCAAGAATGCGCAATTTGTTTGGACGAAAGCTTGCGACGCTTCCTTCCACGCCCTCAAGTCTGCGCTATCCAGTGCTCCGGTTATGACATTCCCGGACTTCGGACAGATAATTCTGCATTAACTGCGTTGCGGGCAACCCAGGAGCCCCGTGATCGGAAGGCTCGATGGATAGAGGCTTTGGCCGCATTCGACTTAACTGTTGTTCATCGCTCTGGGTCTCGACACAGGAATTCTGATGCCATGTCCCCCTGTCCTGGTGGCAGATGTGCCGTCTCCTCCGCCGAATCCACCGCCTATTGCCCGTGATGTTCCGTTTTCAGCCGCTGCTGAAGTGCCACTTGCTGCTGTTGTTCCTCCGGCTGCTGAGATTGTTCCTCCTGCCGTTTTTGTTCGTCCTCCTGGTGCCTCTGCTGCTGGACCGTCGTAACCTGATTGTTTCAAGCCTCTGAGTCTTCTTGCTCCGTCTGATCCTGTTCTGGCTGAAAATTTCTCCAGTTATGATGCTGCCAATGACAAGTTTGTTCGTCCGCCTGAAGCCGTATCCCGTCCTCCCGACTGTCAACCGCCCGCCGTTACTACTTCTCATTCTGACCTGCTGACGCTACCTGATGATGGTCCGCCCCTTCAGCCGCCGGCCTCTGGTCCAGTTAGTACTTCTTCTCCTGTTTCTCTTCGTTCTGGCCGTGTTTGCACTGCACCTGCTTGACTAGCTGACTATGTCCTGGGCTGAGTATTATTTGGTTTGTTTTCTTTTGTTTGTTTCCTATTTTTTTCGTCCATTCCCGTGGACGTGAATTTTTGCTAAGGGCGCGCTCACACTGCGACCGAAACCAGCGTCCATGCGGCCAAGTTGCCTGGCAACGGCATGAACTTGACCAAAACGTCGCGGCCACGTTTCAAATCGTGACCGCGACCTCCGGAGGGGGTGCCACGACTTGGCGGCAACATGATCGTAGACGTGAAGCGTATTTGTGTACAACCTGGCCTGAAGTATGTTCAATATATCAAATTCCGCTGTGTTGATTCATGAAAATCGGCGGTTGTCGATGTCACCTCGACATTTGCACATTTAATTTTTTTTGTAGTTGTGGTCCTGCACGCACGCACCGCCATATATGCATTCTTTGCCCTTTTTGGACGATGTCGATTTTGTTTTTGTTTTTGTAGTTGCTTCGTTGTGATCGGGTCAGTGACCAATTTATACAGTGTACTCGTTCAATACGATGGCAGCTTGGTCTGGCTTTTCGGTTTCGGAAATCATCTTTCTCTACTTTTCTGCGATGATGGAATGCCATACCTCAAGACATTTTAGTTACATATCATCGGAAAATACAGTTCTCATCTCGGCAACAGACGAAGGAAACCACTACCGGAATTTCCACTGCACTGGCACTTGCTCTGACCACGAGGTCAAGAAAGCGAAAGCGCTTTGATGTCAGCAGCAGTCCCTCAAGAGTCCAGACCTACCTGATTGTATGAATTATTTTCGTCGACTTCAAGAAGAATGGCACTTCCTCCAACATGCAACATGCGAAAAATTACATCCAAAACGGGCCACGACTTTATTAGGAAATGCATGAACTCTTTTGGATACGAACTGCAATTCGTAAAGTTTGTGTGACAACTTCACATCCACGCGTGTGCGAGGTCTTGTGTGAGCACGACTCCCACGTTTCTGCGGTTTGCTGATGCCTGGACGCGTGCCCAGGGTCGCAGTGTGAGCGCGCCCTAAGGGGGGGGGGGGGGCGCAGTGTAATAAGTGTATTTATGCTACGACCTGTACATACTCACTTTTCATATTTCCCGCTCGTTCTCCTTGGCGATGAGAGCCACCCACGTATAGAAGAAGGCATGCTCCAGTGGATCTCTAGCGTTGTCTGAGTTGTCGTTGTCCTGTTCTATTTTTCATTCTTGTCTACACTCTTGTCGAAATACTTTCCATACTCAATACTATAAACCCCCTGTGTTCTGGTGTGAGGGGACTTCATTTAGCCGCGAGCTTGCAGTGCTGTGGGAATGGGTGTGTCCACCCTACTACTCTCCATCATTCTATCCTCGTGATTTTTCACTCCAAGTGTATAAACTCTATTGTAGTTTCATAATTCTCTCCACTCACAAATTCCATTGACAATTGTGACAAGAAAACGTTCTATAATACTTTTTTCGTCGCCATGGTTGTGATATGAGTGAAAATAGAGTTGTATTCATTGCATTATTAAGATTATTGTGAATAATTTTGTTGAAACGGTGCTCGTTCTGTATCATCATTATCTTGATAACAATAGGGATTGATGAAAGAATTCCACATACAATGTACCGTGCATTCCTTTGGCACTTATTTTATGATGTTCACCATCAATGTCATAGCTTACCTTGATTCAAGTACACCGCAACCCATGAGTTAACATAGACACACCCGTAACAGCCGGGGTTAGAGGAGATAGTGCCGATACCATATAAACTGACATAGAGACTTGGTGTCAAAATAAGAGGATTGAAATTGAGCCATCTACAAAGGACAAAAGAGATCAGAGCAAACTTGGGGTTAATAATCGGAAAAAGGAAGATGAAGTGGCAGCTACTTCGGCGGTATTTTGTTATGAAGGGTGGTTTTTACGCCACGCAGGAGCTTGCGCTTATCCAGTGACTTGATACTTGACTTACCCACTACTGCCATCCAGAGCACTTCCGAAGGCCATTTAACCTTCGTTTCGAGAAGGCCATTTAATTCGTTTCGGAAACCCTGCAAGAAAGCGTCACTCTCTATACATCGTTTCGGGGAAATCACACCTCATCAGTTGAGCTTGAGTAGGCCGAAGAATATTGTGCTGAAGAGCATCACTTATATAGTGCTCTCCAGGTACGAACATCACCACGGGTACACCTAAGCACACACACTCACTTTTCAGCGTAACAAATGCCTAGCGAACACCAAATAGCAGTCTGAGTTAGTGTCGCTCTGGGACGAAAAAAAAAGACGTCGACGACCCTCTCTCATTCACAACGCTCTCACCTCCGGGCACAACAAAATTGTCTTGCAGGTTTGCCCAGTCGAAGGTTCAATGGTATTATAGCGGTCCTGAGTCCGAGTCAAGTGGCAAGTCAAGTCGGCGCAGAGGCGCTAGCTCCAGTGTGGGGAGCAAATCCTTTCCTAAAACATCAAGCAGGGGTACCACAAGGTAGCATCCTTGGACCTACGTTATTCCTCCTGTACGTAAATGACTGCGAGGACACCTTGCCTGCTGGTGCTGAGCTTGCCACGTATGCAGATGACACGACACTGTATCAGTGCATCTCTGCCACCGCCAGCATATCCGACTCTGCAGCACAACTCCAGGAAGCAGTGGACGCCGTCTCCCACTGGGGTTCCAAGTGGAAGGTCACCTTCGAGCCATCCAAATCTCAGGCCCTCATCATCGACCACCGCAAGCCTCCTCCAGAGTTTCCACCAGTGCTCTTCAATGGAGTGACTGTTCCTGAAGAGAAGGAAATTAAACTTCTGGGCATAGCATTCGACTCGCAACTGTTCTACGCAGCATACCTCTGGGCCGTGGCCTCAAAGGCTGCCCAACGCCTACACTTCCTGAGAAAGGTTGCGCCCCTGTTGGACTCCAGCGGCCGCACAGCAGTCTACAAAGGCTTCGTGTGGCCAACAATGGAAAACTGCTTCCTGGTGTGGATTGGGTCAGGTACATCCAGGCTGGACAAAATCCAGCACAAGGCACTGAAGGTGATTGGCCCAGGCGCCTGGCTCCCCAGCCTGAAACACCGCCGACTGGTTGCTGCGCTTTCGTTCACGTTCAAGCTGTCCTACCTTCCAACAACAAGCCCCCTGAAGCCCATCCTCCCACCTCCAGCCAATCCCCACCCAGTGGGTGGTCGATCCACTAGGTTAGCCACGGAGACTGCCCACTGCCACCCTCTCCAGCTCAAGTCGACGCTGCCCGTGCGCATTCGTAGCAGCCTCCTGGGTTCCTACCCAGACTGCATTATTCCCTTGTGGAACAGCCTACCAGGGACCATTCTACCAGCACGGCCGCAACCCAGACAGCTCCAATCATTCAAGGAAAAATGCAACAAGTATCTGCTGCACCTGAACTGGCAAGCAGCCACCGACGCCCTATGAAACGGTTTAGACCAGTGCCTCACTAGCATCCTCCCCCCCCCTTACCACAATGTGACGTTATCTTTCACTCTGCATCTCTCACGACCATTTACCCATTGTCCTTGTTTCTCACTATTATTCATTTCCCCTCTTCCCCCTCTCTACATGGTTTTACTGCATTATGGCGCGCTTTGTCTGCGTAGACCCCGAGACCTTTGAGGTCGGCAGAGCAGCCTGGCTTCGCCACCACTTCACGCACATGTTCGGAAATATAGTGGACTTTCGTTAAAAAAAAAAAAAAAACCATCGCCGAAGTCGCTATCACTACTTTGTACTGTGCGCGACACGCTGGTTTAGAAGTAGCAGCGTTGCGAATTACGGGGAGCCCTCGACACTTTTATTCATTTATTATATGTCTGTACCTCATAGCATTTCAAGACAGCCAATTGAATTGCGGAGATGGTGCAAGTCATGCAAACCAGCCGAAAGTGTTTGAATAAGCCACTTCGAATAATATACAAAAGTCCACAACAGTTACAGAAAAAGACAAAAAGAAGACAAAACTAAGGTGCCGACACCACACGGGCACAGAAGCCCACCCACCGCTTCGGTCAGCAGTAAGGGCCCATAACGCCTCCAGATCGACTATGCTTGACAAGGAAAATTCATTCTGCTTGGCATCATCTCGTCGCGAGTAGCGTTTCCAGCGTATGTCTTCGTCGCCCCCTGGACCAGGCTCTGCAAAGCATGCTCCTATGCTCATTAATGGTGAATAGTTCTCCGGGAGCTGAAGGGCGTGCCCAAAGAGCCTCTACCTAGCTCTTGAGATGATCATACCAAGAGAAGAAGAGAGGTACGCTCATAGTCATCCACAAACTCGAGATTGACTGCACGGACAGCGAAACATGTGAATAAACAGACCCACACCTTGGTCGTGGAGGAGTCGGACTGCTTGATGAGCAATGGTCCAAAGTAGTCCAGACCGGTGAACTCAAATGGATGAGCAGGGTTGACACGCTCAGCAGGTAGAGGCGCCATCAAAGGAAGACGATACAGTGGTGAGTCTCAACGAAGGCACACAAGACATAACGTCAGTTCATAGCGAAGAGCCTGCCGACCATGACGAACCCAGAAGTTGAGGCGAAGCTGTGCGAGGATGTGGCTTGGACCAGCATGCAGCAGGCGGACATGGATGTCGAGAATGATCACGTCCATGCCGCTTCTGTCTCCGCTACTCCCGTTTTATACACGCTTCCTGCTGCTGTGACCGTCCCTGTAAATGGCTCACTTAGTCAACTGAGGAATAATCGTCTCTTTATTAGTAAAGAAGCAGTTTCATACAGTAAGTAGAATAACAGGTGCCAAGGTTAGCCATGAACAGTAAGTGCTAGAAGTTGCACAAGGTGTGCAACTGATAGGCGCGCACAAGCTGTGCAGTGATTGTAACAGTATAGACTTGATTGATTGGAGAATTCGTCGAATGATGTTCAAACCAGAGGTTATAAAGCAAAAGAAAGGTGAGAACCGCAGGAGTGAGAATAGTAGGAACACAAGGTGTTACCATAAGACAAGCAAGAAGTGTCAAGGTAAAACTATTACACTCTCCCGGCCCCATAGGAAGCCCAAGGTTCTATTAGATAACACAATCCAGTTAGGAGATGCAATTGTGGAAAGGGGAATATTAAATAATCACTCATGCACATGCATAACCACATTGAAGTGTAATCCAACTCAACTTCATCACTCTCACAAGGAGATGACGCAAAACTATATCAGTCTATAACATAATTATTAACTATCTCAGTAAGAGATGCATATGGCTCAGCCCAGTTAGATCAAGGCTGCTGTCGTTGTGAGGCTAGATAGTTCTGCAGCGGTTTAATATTCCGACCAGACTCATCACATAGGTTGCCAGCGGGCTCCCACGTAGCTTCGCTGCTGGGGTAACCCTTCCAATGCACCAGGAAGTGTTGCTCACCACTGCGGTGTCGGTGATTCAAAACGGCTTCGACAACATAGCGTGTGTGTCCATCTAGATCTGTGAAGGGCGGAGGCGGGGGTTGGTGTCTTCCAGGAATCGTGTTCTCTTCGTAGCGTTTAAGAGCAGTGACATTAAACACGGGATGGCAGCGAAGTTCACGGGGTAGTTCCAAGCGAAAAGCATTCGCTCCTAACTTAGCCTGGATACAATACGGACCAAACCACTTGGGTTGCAACTTCCGAGAGGGCTGGCCACGAGCTTCCGGGGTCAGTAGAAAGTCTCTGTAGACAAGAACGCTATCACCAACCTTCAAATCACTGGGCGTTCTCGTCTGGTCTGCGTATAGAGCTTGCCTTGCCTGGGCGTCGAGCATAGCATCTCGAGCTATCCTTAGTGCGGCTTCCTGCTCATGAAGCCAATCGACCGAATCACTCCTTTCCCCTCCCGTAAGAATGAATTCGGGCGGGGACTTAGGGTCAAACCCATAGTTCAGATAGAACGGTGTATTAGCTACAGATGACTGTTGTGAACTATTTATTGCAAACTCGCAGAGTGGTAGAAGCGAATCCCAATTGTCCTGTCTCAAGTTCACAAATGCTCTTAGAACATCTCCCACTTGCCGGTTAACTCTCTCTGTCAAACCATCCGTTTGAGGGTGGTTAGCAGTGCTGAATGCCAATTTAGTTCCTAGCTGAGAGAATACTTCTTTGAAAAAAGCTGCAGTGAATCGTGGATCGCGATCGGAAACAATGGTTGAGCTCAGCCCGTGCAGACGAAACACGTTTTGAATGTACAGTTGAGCGCTGCCCTTAGCATCAATCTTCGAGTTTGTTGGAACAAGATGTACGCATTTCGTAAGTCGGTCCACAAAGGTGTAAATTGCGTCGAAGCCACGAGAAGTAAGGGGCAATCCAACAATAAAATCCATTGAGATATCCTGCCAAGGACTATTAGGTATTGGAAGTGACTGGAGAAGCCCTGTTCGTGGCTGACCTCCCTTCGTTCGCTGGCAGAGATCACAGGTTTTGACAAATCTCTTGATATCGAGACCCATTCGGGGCCAGTAGAAAAAACGTGCTAGGCGGAAGTACGTTCGATCACGACCCGGGTGGCCAGCCGTTGCACACTCATGGTGTTCTTGAATGAGCTTTAACCGGACACCGCACTGTGGTATGCACAACCGGTTATTGGGGGATGCCTTGAGGTACAAGCGATCAGTGGATTCGTCCCAATAATAGCGATCATGCAAATTATCTCGGAGAGAATGCTTCAATCTTTCTATGATGGGAGTTAGCTCTTTGTCTCTCTGGTAGGCATCTGATATTGTATTGGACACGTCATCATTCATTGCTAAAGCATACTCAATAGCATTCAAACGTGGTACTGCATTCTCCACGAGGTTACTCTCATGGAGATCTGGGCG